AGATATATCTTGGTGTCATGCAAAGTGGCAAAAACAAATAGAGAGAAACTAAAGCTTCACTAATCTAAAGCCGCTTACTTAGAACTTAAAAGCTTAATACAACTTATATAGAGGTTTTTAAAAGTCCTAACTAGCTCATAGCTTCTCAATTCTATATAGCAAACTCTGTAAAAATTGGTGCACGAGCAAAATCCAACGCCGTTTTGCCTCTTCTCGGCTGGGGAGAGTAGTGCTGGAGGACGGCGGCGCCACCGGTGGGCACTACCGTGGCTGGAATCGATGGGAACCTTGATGGCGGGAAATAAATGTAGTGATTTGGGGGAGATTTGGGGATTTTGTCTCATCTCCTCAGGGCGAAATGGGGATAAGGAAAGACTTCTGGGCCGGGTTCCTTTTTTTCTTGTTGGGCCGGATCACTGCCACGTCATCAAATTTGAAAAGCTGTACAATGGACTGTGAACCGGGACTGTAAGAGAAGCAAAATCCTTATATATATACATACAGGAGAAAACAAAGGCTGAAAGTGGACAAAAAACAGGGGCTATGACTTTAATTCATATACACACGTACACATGGGATTGATTAATATATATTCACGTGTGGCCGACAACTATTATGGGGCAGAAAGTGGCTGAAATCTAGAAATATAATTTCACGTTTTATCAAATTTTAGTGATGTCTTTCTACTTTTGCGTGTTTAAATTCAAAGTTATGAGTGACTAAATACTTTTATTGTTAGGATTGATGATGTAACTTAATGTTTTTATTATATGTTTAATTTCAAGATTTTCATGCAATTTTAATACTTGTTAATTAATTATTGTGTGTTTAATGCTATTATTTGTTTGCGTAACAATTAATTGATTTAATGATAATACTGAGATCGAAAGGTGATGTATAATTCTAATTCGTACAATAATTAATATAAGCATTATAAGAGATCGAGAGATAATTATAAGCTATGCGATTCATGTTAAATTTCTATAGATAAATGCATTGATATGTGTGTGAATTTATATAGAGATATAATAAGTTCGGGCATATGAATATGATTTTTTCGGGGCTGGGTTATGCGGAATGTAATGTGAGTTTTATGTAATGCAGACAATGAATTCCAATTGGCATACATGCATAAAATAAAATAAAAGATCTTTGCAAAACTAAACCTTCTTACTGTATGTTAAGATTTTGGTTGCTTCCTTATGCTTCTGCCTGGTATGCTGTCATTGCCTCACTATAGTGGATCGTATGGACTTGTTTCCCTGATGGCCTTCTGCCGGCGGTACTCCTCTATCCTTGATCCTTATAGATCCATACATGGATTATGTGTGTGAATTTATATAGAGATATAATAAGTTCGGGTATATGAATATGATTAGTATTGCTCGAGAGATATCACTAAATACACTAGGTTAGATCGATCGGTGGTACGTATGAAAAATGGTTGAATGAATTGGAATTAAATGTATGATAAATAACCTAAGTTAAATCGGAAATCCTAACTATCCAATCACATAATCTTATCTACAGTTTTAATTTGAGTTCGTTATTTTAATTAATAGTTTGTTATTTTATTTATTAGAATTTCATTTATAGAACAAAATTTGATTTGATCATTAGTTACTAGTTTAATTGAGCAATGCTACTAGTACATCGGGGTCTACACCCCCCTCACATGGGTAAGGGACCCACTCGAATATTTTATTTAAGTGGACCCCTCCATGTGAGGGGATGTAGACCTTGATGTATACTTTTTGATGTACAAATAGCATTTTTCATTTTAATTTAAATTGAAATAGTTTGAAAATTTATAATAGATATTAGTCACTGTTGGATGATATTTTGACTTAATAAATCCACTTTATTACTTGTCACGATCTGTATACTCGTGGAATTTCACAAATACATTACTTACTTTTCAACGTCAACAAGGCATAAAAAATTTCACATAATGTTTCAAATTGCTCATGTCCCAGCAAGCCTCCTAGCATCTGCTCTTGATCTGGAAGACTCTGAGGCAAATAGGTGTAAATTCATCATCCATTTCTAGAAGTTCGATTTGTTCAGTCACCACTAATGTCGTGAAATATGAACTCATCTGGTCACTTTACAAAAATATGATTCTAAACATGTATAAGTTTTACATGTTTTGTATTGATGAAACAACTGAAATGGGCAACTTAAGGATTTATCAGAAACTTCAAGCTTTGATTGTAATTTGCTGAATCATAATCTGTAAACTAATGCATACTTTGAAACAATTAAATAACCTAAAATCTTAGCATGTGTTCTTGGATTACCGTGAAACCCATTCTTTGAAACCCAGCTCACAACAACAATACCGTGAAATTCTTTGAAACAACAAAATAGTTTCGAATTTACCTCGATGTCCTCTCTCCATGTGAGATTCTTCAGAAATTAAAGCTTTATGTTCATGGTGGGACCTTCGATGTTGATTGAGTTTTGGTTTGGGGGTTAGGGTTCACCGATTT